TTCGATTTCGTAAGTCCTTTTCTGCTGTCGTTTCTGCGGCAGCTGGCTGAATCTCTTGTTTAGAAACGGGTCGAGTGGTGGGCGCTTAAGAGCGCGATCCAGAATATGGTCGTTCTCGTGGTCATCGGGTGCGTGTCTCCGGCCTGCATTTGTCGCCTACTCACGTGTGCAGAGTGCTCAATCTCCCGATCTATGTACCGACCATCGCCTTCTCGCTAGACGTCTCCTACGATATGAACTTCGAGTTCTTTGGAACTGGTCTGGCCAATATTTTTGCTGGAGTGGTGGGAACAGTCCCCAACATCATCGTTTGTGGTGTTCCACTTGTGTGACTGTAAACTCGCTGAACACACATCCCAGCAATACTCTTACACAGTCTACATCACTCGTGCCAAGGGTGGGCGCTTCGAGATGGGTCTGGTGACGCTCCTCACCGCTGTCCTCTTCTTCTTCGCGGGTAACCTGCTACCTTACATCCCAACGATCTTAGCGTCGACTGTGGTGTTGTTCATTGGTATCGAGCTGTCGCTGGAGGCAATCTGGGAGTCCTCCAAGACGCTCGCATGGATGGAATATGCTGTCGTCATGAGCACCCTCTTTGGCTGCACGTTCCTGGGTTTCGCGGAAGGATTTGGTGTGGGCATCGGCTCTGCCGCGCTGGTGTTCCTGGTCTACGGTGTGATGGACTCGGTGCGTCTCTCGTGCTGGGCGCGATGGCTTCCCTCCCAACCAGTTCACAGCCTGCCCAAGTGACGCGCTGGAACGAATGGAACGAACTTCAGCAGATCCGCGACTACGGAAACCCCGAGAGATCCAGCCGCGACTATGCCGAGACCGGAAACAGCCCGGTCATTGCGCGATTCCCCGCTGCCAGAACCCAAGCACCTCCTGCCATCACCCTGGGCTCGACTTCGCGGGATATTCGCCCGCAGTCTGCAGAACCCTTGGCTCCGGCGAACGATGTTGACACACTCTTGGAGCTGAACACCCGCGTTGTCGTTCTGCCGGGATACGTTTGTGCGTGCGATTGCATCGGTCTCCGGTGCTCAGCGCTGATGTACTCTCAGTCTTCGCATCTGTCCCCTCCCTTGAGAGCTCCCTCCTCTCCTCCGTCCACCCGCCGACCTTCTTCGTCCTCGACCTATCGAACACGCATCGCATAGAAACAGCGGCCGCGCGCTGTCTGCCGCGCTTTTCGCGGGACCTCGAGCCCAAGTCGAGCCGGCTCGTCCTGTGCGGTGTCCGGCGCGGGACGGGTCTGCATGCGGATTTCGTCAGAGCGGAGACGCGGCTGGCGTATGACGACCAGCCGGCTGCTGCTGAAGACGAGGGTAAGCCGATCCGGGCGTTCGAGAGCCGGGCAGAGTGTCTTGCCTGGTGTCAGGCAGAGCAGCAGAAGCAGCTGAGGGTCAAGGATGATGGTGCGTGGACCCTAAATGCCAGTCGCGGTCGACGACTGAACCAGAGTCGCAATAGGCTTGTCCATGGACGAGAAGGAATCCGCGTTCCAGCGGCTCTCGGAGTCATCCGCCGCAGAATCCTGGTCGTCGCTGGCTCGTTTCGAAGCGTCCGGTGGCGAGATCCGTCTCCTGCTGCCCGGCCAAGTCCTGCTCCCATTCACCGGTAAGGCCATCCAGCCATCCAATACCACGCGTACTTATTCTTACCAGGAACCGTCTTCGTCGTGGAGGGCCAGCTCTCTCTGCTCCCCGATCCCGGAAACACTCCCTCTGCTAGGGGTTCCGGTGCTCCAGCGATCAACCGCACATCCGTGCAACGGCTCGTGGCGATGCTTCCCGGCGAGGCGCTCAAGTTTGTCCGCTCGCGACTGCGTGTGATGATGGCTCGCGATGCCTCTGTGCCTCAGGTCCTTGGTGCGGGTGACCAGCTTGACTTGTCGCTGTCTCCCGGTCGTGCCGTTGCGAAGACACGCACTGTCCTGGCCCTCGTAAACTCGCACGCCACTAGATAGTCACCAGTTTATGGTAATCCGGGTCAGACTAGAGACAACTAGAAAAATGTTGCCAGTCAAGTAGAATGAGAAACATTCTGTACCGGACTTTAGCAGTGCGACACAGACCGACGACAGACGTGCGGATGGCCAGCGGGATCCGCTATTGATTACAAGGACGAGCAGAAATCCGAATCGGGTTCGACAAAGGTTGATATGCGATCGATACACGTTAAACATCGCAGAACGGGTTAGGAATGCCCTCAAAGCAAAAAAAAAACTAGCCCACCGCGGGGGTCGAACCCGCAGCCTTGAGATACCGCCGTCTTGCAAGACATAAGAGTCTCACGCTCTACCGATTGAGCTAGACGGGCTGCGAGAACTGATCTCCCGCATGTGTATATATTAAGGCTCAATTAGACTCCAGTTCATTCGTCTTGGTCTGCTGGACCTCCCTTTTTAGTTTCTGAACGTAAATGACTATGGTCAGGAGATAGATCTGATAGGGGATGGTGAATCCCATTTTCCTACGGGATACCTGACATGCATGCTGTGATTTCGGCTCTCGTGTGTTCTCCTCGGGTCGTCTCGCGTCCTTGCAATAATTTCTTCCTCGCACTCCTCTCAGGCAGAATTTCACCCCAGGGACCTCCAATTATTACGTAAAATGGCTTCGAGGCCCCCTCCGGAGGCCATCAAACCACCCCCTACCCCCCCTGATCGGAGGCCATCCTGGAGGCGCCTTCCTAATTGGTACTCTGCCCAGCCATTCATCCACAGCCAGCATGGTAGGCTAGGCATTGACCTGATCAGATGCTGGAGCAAATGGCAGAACTGGCCTCCGCTGCCTCCACAGGTAATCACTTGAAGACTCTGAATGAGATGACAATGTAAGAGATATATATTCTCCTGGCTGACCACATTCTGTCATTTCCACCTCTACATGCTAGTTTAATTGCTGCAGAATGTTAAAATTAGAGGATGGGAGACCCTGGAGGCACTGGAGGCACATGCAAGATCCAATCAATGTCATCAATATCATCAGTGCCATCAATAGCATCAAGAGCATCACCGATCATTGGTAGATTGATCAGCCAATCAGATGATGAATAAACATCGAACATCTAGTATGTTCATTCCTGAGAGACACAGACTACATGTATGCCCATACTGAAAGTGGATTAGTGGTCCCAGGACATGCCCCAATGACATATTGCATGCTTGTCTCAGGGACATATGATTAAAAATCGGAGTTGGCAAATCAGCTGAAAGTACTCCACTGTACCACTCATCTTCAGTTGACTTTCAGCTGATTTGCCAACTCCGATTTTTAATCATATGTCCCTGAGACAAGCATGCAATATGTCATTGGGGCATGTCCTGGGACCACTAATCCACTTTCAGTATGGGCATACATGTAGTCTGTGTCTCTCAGGAATGAACATACTAGATGTTCGATGTTTATTCATCATCTGATTGGCTGATCAATCTACCAATGATCGGTGATGCTCTTGATGCTATTGATGGCACTGATGATATTGATGACATTGATTGGATCTTGCATGTGCCTCCAGTGCCTCCAGGGTCTCCCATCCTCTAATTTTAACATTCTGCAGCAATTAAACTAGCATGTAGAGGTGGAAATGACAGAATGTGGTCAGCCAGGAGAATATATATCTCTTACATTGTCATCTCATTCAGAGTCTTCAAGTGATTACCTGTGGAGGCAGCGGAGGCCAGTTCTGCCATTTGCTCCAGCATCTGATTCATGTGGTGAGACATTTAACTAAAGGACCCTCATAATTATAATGAAGACCTTCAACATCATGGACATGGTTTATGTGGCTGAACCCAAAAAACCGCTTTTGGTCACTGGCTGTGGAGGCCATGGAGGCCAGTTCTGCTATTGGTGCTAGCATCTGATCTATGTAGCCACCTGTCTCTCTTGAATACCCAGACATTCTGACTAGGACAAACAACATCAGAAATATGGTTTATGTGGCTGAATCTACAATAACCGCTTTTGGTCCCCAGCCCTGGAGGCGGTGGAGGCTTGTTCTGCCACTGCTCCAGCATCCAATTTATATGCTGGGCTGTTGTTTTGACAAAGCATAAGCATCAAATTGATCTATTGAAGCAGAATTCAAGGGCCTGTGGGCTACCCAACACCTTTTTTTCTGCCCCTGGGAGGTTGTGGAGGCCATAAACCATCCCTTCAGCAACATCTCATTTTTGCGTGTGGGCACAGCTACCTCATGCTCAATCTCGAATTAACATATATACTGCCGCTCTATGCACCTGAGGAGTGCTCATGTGCTCAAATCCCGAATTTTGTGCACCCAGTGGTCTGCCATTTGCAAGCAAGAAATACAAGCTTTTGTGAGCTAAGACATTGTCTGAGGCTTTATACTGACTACTACAGCATATATAAACACTCAGGTCAATGCCTAGCCTACCATGCTGGCTGTGGATGAATGGCTGGGCAGAGTACCAATTAGGAAGGCGCCTCCAGGATGGCCTCCGATCAGGGGGGTAGGGGGTGGTTTGATGGCCTCCGGAGGGGGCCTCGAAGCCATTTTACGTAATAATTGGAGGTCCCTGGGGTGCAGAATTTTATCCCGGGACGAAGATCTGACTACTCAAATCAATGGATGGATAATTTCAGTTTGACAGGACTGCGAGGAGTCCCTTTTTTGTGAACCTGTAGCGTTTCAACCCAGATCGCCCGATTCGTAGACTTGCTCCTCTGTGTGTAGAATTTGAGGCCACCAAATTCTGAACTGCACTCGCCCAGCTCTAAATGACTAATGACAGACGCCCACTCAATCCAGCAACCTGCATCAACGTTTCATCATGCCCAGACGCAAAAGCTCGAGAGAGACAACCGCACAGAGATTCTAGAGATGCATTCCTGACGGTTGTCCATTGTGAGATTCTTCGGCTCAATGCTCCAGGCCTCTGAACATTTCAACGCGCGGAGATGATCTCCGTTGGTTCTGGTTCGTTCAAATGATGACCTCGGAGCCCGCCGTAAACTGGTGATGGGGTCAAACAGCGTGCCCTCTATTTCTTCACCGTCATGTTCCATATCTCAAACAACGGATGCAAATTATCGCGGAGTAATGCGCGCATCGCGGGATAGAAAGGCCAGACTGAATGTCTACCCCGCATCTCGCTCAGCTCTCTGCCTCCCCTGGGTCGAGGCTGTCAATCTGGCCTGCCTGGACCTTGGGAGAACACGGATAGAAGAGCATGTCAGCTGAACCTACCCCCGAGTTCTTCTATTTACTCATCCGACCACCAACATACGGTTCCTCCGGATTACCACACTGCTCCTCGTTCCATCCCTCGGTGTCCTTTTGTATCGATACCACACAACCATGGCGATGAAACCCACGATCGTGATTGGGGGAGGATTGGCCGGGCTGAGTGCCGCGCACACGCTTTTGGAGCGGGGTCAGACCGTACTATTGCTGGATAAGAAGCCGTCGTGCGTCACCCCTCCCTTTTCATTGGGGAGTCAGCGAGGGCTGACGGTCGCCAGACTGGGCGGCAACTCCGTGAAAGCGAGCTCGGGCATCAACGGCGTGTACACCAAGGCACAGAAAGATGCCGGCGTCGTCGATAGCGTCGACGCATTGTGAGGGCACCCTACCGAAACTCCCCTGCATGCTTGCTCACGCTCACGCTCCATTCAGCGCGGCGGACACGACCACCTCCGCAGGCTCGCTCGCTCAGCCCGATCTCATCGCCGCGCTCACGGGAAGCAGCGCCGCGGCCATCTCGTGGCTGACGGACACATTCGGCGTGGATCTGTCCATCGTCGCGCGGCTCGGCGGGCAGTCTGCTGCGCGCACGCACCGCGACAAGGGCGGTGCCCCCGGGTATGCGATCACGGGCGCGTTGATGAAGGCGCTCGAGGCCGCCGGTGCAGCGAAAGTCACGATCGTGAAGAACGCGCGGGTGGTGAAACTGGTAGAGAGCAGTGACCGCGTTGTGGGTGTCGAGTACGAGGTCGGGGGCGAGACCAAAACCGCGGAAGGCAGCGGTGTCATTCTCGCCACTGGGTGAGTCTCCGCCATCTCCCGCCGCCGTTCTTAGTCGGTTTTAAATGCTCAACAGTGGATATGCGGCATCGTTCTCCCCGGGGAGCCTGCTTGCCACACATCGCCCGGACCTCCTGGCCCTGTCAACGACCAACGGGGATCACGCGACCGGAGACGGCATCGCTCTGGCGACCTCACTCGCCGCTTTGCCAGCTGGCACGATCCACCTCGACCAAGTGCAGGTCCACCCGACCGGCTTCGTCGACCCGAAGGATCCCGGTGCCCGCACCAAGTTCCTCGCCGCCGAAGCCCTGCGCGGAGCGGGTGGCCTGCTGATCGATAAGGACGGCCGGCGGTTCGTGGACGAGATGGAGAAGCGGGATGTCGTCACGGCGGCGATGCAGCGTATTGAGCAGGCGGGCCAGGGTCCGATCAGATTGCTTCTGGGCGTGGGCGCTGCGGCTGAAGTCAAGAAACACTGCAAGTAGCTGGTCTCCCCGTGAAATCAATCTGACCCCGCCTGCAGGCGACTTTTATGTCTTCAAAGGCCTGATGAAGCCGTATCCGAACGCGGAAAGCTTCTCGCAGGACACGGGGGTACCGTTGGCAAATCTGCTAGATACCTTCGCGGCACACGGAACAGGAAGCGATCCTTTCGGCAAAAGTATGTCTCGCTTGTTTCTCGAGCTGTGTCCCTCATGGATCTCTATCAGCCGTGTTCCACAACGCAAGCTACAGCGCAGACGAAGCACTCCACGTCGCGATCACCACGCCAGTCGTACACTACGTAAGTCCCGCTCGGGTGCCCATCTCTGAACCAGTGCTAAGCGGGTATCGCAGACCATGGGCGGGCTGGCCGTCGATTGCGAGGCCCGCGTGTTGTCGGACAAGGACCGGGCGCCTATCCCCGGCCTCTGGGCGGCGGGCGAAGTCATCGGAGGCGTCCACGGCAGCAACCGACTCGCGGGATCGTCTCTGCTCGAGGCTGTCGTGTTCGGCCGGATCGCCGGCCGGTGTGCGTGAGGGCCGCACGATCGACCTGTGGCGCGGGTTGGGTCCGACGGACAGAAGAAGCTGCAGGAATCGTCTGGGGCGATGCAGTCACGGCTAATGGACAACATATCATATCAAGCATGTCGTCGTATTCACGTCAACTTTGCTTCCACCCAGACTAGGAGGTTGAGGAACGTGCATACAGTGCACCTTGGACTTGGCCGCACCGGTCCAGCGCCGATTCTCCCAGCGCGGAGCAATCTGTCTTGCTGAGCGGCTATCGGTCCTGAGGGAGAGATTTGGATATAACACGTGTGGGGCGGGACCCTCTCATGCCTGCAAGGACTGTCCATTCGGAGCCGGTAGTCCCAGTGCGGGGCTCTTCTCTGTCTTGTTTTGCATAGGCCCAAGCCACTGTTCTGTGTGCTTGAGTTTGAAACCCAGGTTGGTCGTTGAAGATGATACGATGCTTCGACCTGACTTTGGGTTCCGCAAACGAGCAGCGGCAAAATACTAGCCCACCGCGGGGGTCGAACCCGCAGCCTTGAGATACCACAGTCTTGCAAGAGATAAGAGTCTCACGCTCTACCGATTGAGCTAGACAGGCACTGACAACTAATGGGACATAAATATTTTCAACTTCAATTTCATTTCATGTTTCAGACGGGAACTGCTGCTGGAGTAACTACGGACGGAAGAAACAGAAATTGTCGCACAGAGCGCCTCAACTCTGACGCTCGAGAATGAACGTCTGGTAGTGAGTGTAGGTGCCGTGCTCCGGGAGGACTCGGATCTGCGCCGCTGTGAGCGACACTGCCACGCCCTTGGACTCTCCGCCCCCGGCACGCACCTGAGTCGTCAACACGCCCTTGGAGAAATCGAGCACCCAGGCGCCGCTGTTGTCCGCCATGCGGATGAACACCTCCTCCGCGCGGGTTTTGGACGCCGGCTGGAACGCGAACGTGGCCGCGGGTGCGACGTACGTCGGGGCGAGTGTCTGTGTGCGTGTGAGCCTGCTGCCACACGGCTCTCTGTGCGCCGCCACACGCACCTGCGCTGCCGTGACCCCGAGGCGCAGGTTCAGCGCGACGTTCTGGAAGGTGTACACCCCGTCCGCGGGGTCGCCGTGGTGCGAGATTCTCCACTGCAGAGCGCGCGCGCGCGGGGCAGTCAGTCAGGCGGGCGCGGGGCAGACTCGGAGCGGCCCGAGGGGACCCACCAGCGCGGTGTTTCCGGGATACCTCTCGTCCGCCGACCGCGTCGAGTAGATCGACTGGTTCAGCGCGCCGCTGCGGACCGGGGCGCGGGAGAGGATGTCGAGAATGCGGTACACGCCCGGCTGCACCGGCGCGGCGGTGCCGAAAGCGGCGTAGGCGTCGCCGTTGACGAGAAGATGCTCGAGGGCGGGGGTGTCGGCCGCTCGGAAAGCGAAGCGCTGCGCCTCCCAGCCCGGAACGCGGGGCGCCAGTCTGATCTGTGAGGGACGGTGGATGATTGGAAGCAGACTGTTGGAGTCGAAAGTCTCACCCGCTGACCAGTGAGGGCCTCGTCAGTCGGGTTCAGAGTCCAAACGAGGCCGGGGGAAACGACGCTATGGATCTGGAGCTACTTTTCAGGCGCGGTGAATCACATCCAGCTCGACTGGCGACTCACGACAAAGTAGCCGGGATGTCCGGCCGCGGCCTCCAACACGAAGTCCTCGAGATCCTCCTCGAAAGTCGAGGTCGACACCCAACCCTACCCAATCTCATCCTATGTCGAAATAAAAAAAAATGGGCGGAGAGCGCACGTCGTTGTCCACGGTGACAGGCAGACCAAGGCCGACGCTCCTCAGGGCAATCTTGTTTTCATTCCCCGCCGTCAACTCAAACTGCGTTGATCCGATCAGATGGCCGCCCGGGCCGCCCGATCGGCGATCGGCCACCCACCAATGTGTGCGACATTGCATCCTCGGTCGGGCGGCTCACGTACACCGGCTGGCCAGGAATATACACGCGCGCGGCGGCGGCGGCGGCGGCGCTGCTGTGGATCTCGTACACCCCGGATTTGGGAAACGCCTGGCGAAATCCGAGTTCAGATCAGCCATGCGCACGCGGGAGTATATACAGAGAGTGTGTGTGTGCGACTTGGCCTGATGGTCAAAGTCGCACACTGATGGCAGCGTAGTTGCACATAAGTGATCGTATATATGATCCGCAAGCGGTTGAACCCTGTCTCCGTGGTCCAAATCTCTGATGCGCCTAAATGTCTAGACGGTGATCTGTCACAACTGTAACAACCCGCATCGAGAGGCTAAAGACAACGGTTTGGCAAGTACATACAGAGAGTATGCACTGTCGATCATTGTAGTTAAATAATATTGTCCTCCGCCAGTTTATGTGAACAAATTACTGTATGCAATAACATTACCCCTTCCTCGGCTTCTTTGACGTCAATTCCCCAATAATGTTGTCTCGGGATCTGGTCCGAGGGACTCGCTTGCGAGCTGATGAACGTCTCGGAGCGTTCTGTACATCAGATTCAGCCGCCTCGCTCTGTGTGGTCAGTGGAAGTTGAGCGGCAGGTGTTGAATCGACTTCAGAAGCCATTGCAGATGAGGGATCGGGCAGAATGTTTCTCTCAGCAGACAGAAGCGGTTGATCCACGGAGAGACCCGTGTCCGTACTGTTCCCCCCCACATTCTCGGGCATGTTGCTGATCAATACGTCCCACTCTTCCTGCGAAAACTCCTGAAAGCCCATAAACTCAGATCCCATCTAGGATCGGATACTGAGTGTCCTGACAGTAGAATCAAGATCCCCCTCACCTGAGATTCGCTGAGATTGAAGTTCAGAGCGGCCATGTTCACTTGTTCCATGTTGGAAAAGACCGGATCGACAAAACCGGGATCTAAATCGAACGTAAATGAGTTTGGGCAACAACATAAACTTGTCACATACCTCCATAGTGTCCAGGTGGATCAGTAGTATCCACGATGCTCGTTGTAGACGACCCCTCCTGTGGCCAGTAGAAGGACTGGAAGTCGTTGGAATTCCCAATTGCGCCTTGATTCCCAAACTCCGGTTCCAAAAGTAACATTGCTGAACGTATGTTGTAGGAATATTGGATGAACAAGAAACAAAAAAAATACTCACATGAAAGCGGTTCTGAAAATTGATCCAATGGCTTCAAGTTCAATTCCGGAGTTGCCAGTTCAGCGCGCAGTTCAGCGGGTTCCCCGGCATCGGCACGAGATGAAGAAGCACCTGGTAAGAAGAATACTCAAATTAGATAATGTGTACACGCATTAGCAATTAGAAAACTTACCATTGTCAATCGCCTGAGTCGCAACACTGGCGGGGATCTGCTTGCGAGCGAGTGGTCCCGATCGGAGCTCTAGCAACCTCGCATCCAGTGCAGGTCGTTGAACAGATCGCCATGTCCGCCTCGCTGACTTCTCCGCCTCCTCTTCTGCAAGTCGCTGGTTCAGCTCCAGTCGAATATGCTCGTCGCGATGGTTAATTCGCAGGGCATTCCGGCAAGCTTTGATCTGTTGCTCCAAAGCTTTCGAACGTTTAAGTGATGCATCGTACTCAATTTTACCGTCGTCGATGTCAGCCTTGAGTGTCTGGTACTCCTGGATGTTATCGTCTCGTTTGGCAGCAAGCTTTCGCTGCCAAACAGCGCGGTTCGCCGAATTTACCTCGCGGTTGTAGATGGAATTGCCGCGCTTGTATAGAATGCCACTGCGTTCCATTAAAATCAGATTTTCGACGTGGGTATTGTCCCTCTGCTGAGCGCTACGTCCCAGAATAAGTACCGCTCAAGGCCGCAGATTAGAGCGAACTGAACTCAAGAATTGCATCCAGCAGGCCAACGTGCTTCCGAGTTTCCGCATTTCGAGCAGCATGTGCAGTCTCCACAATATTTGTATGGCTTGGGGTGGTATTGAAGTCGCTGGAAGGGATTTTGGAGAGCACAGGACTGAGCGATGGAAGAATCCAAGGGTTACTCAGTTTGTGCTTGAGCCAATCTGGGCAAAAATAAGTCCTGTTTTCACGGCCGAAAAACTGAGGTGACTTACTATGAGCGTCGGAAAAGGGTTGGAGAGCATCGGGCATCTCGGCCAACCAGCGTTCGACCTCCTCCCCTGTTTTGAGTCCCGGAAAGCTTCGAATACGCTGAACAAGGTCGGAGGGGGTGGACTTCTCGAGTTCTTTTACATGCCTGGAGGCAAAGAGCTCAGCAAATATATCAATATGTAAATGATCCAAACGTACCGGTGGAAATGAACGCTACAGGTTTTAAGGACGTACGAGAGCAGGTCAACGGCATCTCGAGAATGAATGCCACTGGTGGCAGGGTCGTTGTACGACTTCAAGAATTCACCCAGGCCAAGTGCCTGAGCTACCTCGCCGTCGAGTAAGATCACTCGACAGTTTGCGTCTGGATAGAAGGGCGCCAACTTAAATACTCGGCCAGTGATGCGTTTAATGGTGTCAAAGAGCTCGATCCAGAGTTGTAGATAGGCCTCTGTGGACTTGGTGTCACAGAACAAGCTTCCAAACGTGAATCCTATCCCGGAATCCAATATCAGTGCATTAATAAACTGCACAGAGAGTCCAGCGACACACGTTTCTGAATTGAATCCAAAAATCCAGCGATTTCCCATTCGTCCATATTCTCCGATCTCTGAACCCGTGAGAAGGTGAAGTCAATGGCAAGGTATCGGACTTGGTGGATGCGTTCAGCCAACTCAGGATGCATTGTAACTACAATACGGAACCCGCCCTTGTTCATGACTGCATGAATATAGCGGTCAGATGGTAGGATATTGCGTGTGGTGACAGAGTGAAAATGAACAAGACCTTGAAAGAGTTCTAGCGTGTGCAGACGCGCCCAGATAGTGACTCACCTTCCCAACCAGTTCCCCTGGGAAAGTTCTGCCTCCTTTCAGACGAAATCTCCCCTCGAATATATCGATTGTTCAAGAGAGCAGTAGACACTGTCCCTAACGCGGCCGAACCAAAGACATCGCCAGTAGAGGGTGCTTTATGAATTAATATCAGAAATTCAATTGACACTTGAATTATTACTCACTATTCAGAAGCTGGCTTGCAGTTAGTCCACGGATACCAACAGTCCTGATCGCAGAGGCAAGAAGTCGCTTCTCCTGAGAGCCCAACTTCGAAATTGGCCAAGCTGGATGATTGTGCGGACCAGAAAAGTAAATGATAGCCTTGAAGGCAAGCTCTGGTGCGGCCCGCTTCTCGCTTTCAGTGGGGACAAGAATGGTCATCTTCACTGGACATTTGCGTTCAATCATTCCCGGTTGCGTAATGACACCATTAATAATATGGCTATAATCTGTGCAGGAGATTAATAACTTCTTGGAGCGAAAATATTCCACTGACTGCATTGCTTCACACCAAATCGTGGATTTGAAGTGAAAGAACACTTGTCCTTCACAGTGACAAGGGTCGGGAGCTGACCGCCATTATCCAGGGCATGTTGTAGCATTTCTGCGTCAATATGGCTGGGGATTGTGGAATATCGATGATCCTCGCCAGCCCGAAAACCCGAGCATCCCACAAAATGGGAATGTCCGTTAAAGACACGACCCTGGAAATAAATCAGTCCTGGATCCAGAGTCGTAGCCAAAATGATGGCACTGACACCAGAGAGTCGAACGAGTTTTGGAGCCCCACTGCACTCTGCCTTGCAGCGTAGTTCATGAATTTGTCGGTAATATCTGCCTTGTATTAGATGAAGGTTCGGATATTAGATCACCAAAACACGTACCGTGCAAGGGCAGCAAGATAAGATGCAGCTTCTTCTTGATTATCATGCAGTTGGGGTGCCCACAAGGCATGGGTGTCGTCAGGATTAGCCGCATATCGAACACAGTTGTCCACAAGCCCAGTGTCAAACAAGGCACAAGAATCGAGGCCGTTGCAATGCATTGTGAGACGGCGGCATCGAACGGCGAGATGTGGAGACTCTGAGAGCAACTGAGCAACTCCAGTATCGCCGGCATCTGTCTTGTGCCCGCTGGACTTTGTATCCCATGAATCTTGATCCTGGGAGAAATTCAGCAAGAATTTGAGCAGACATAAGCGGTTGATTGTACCTCCTTTCGAATATGCTGCCCAAGATCCTTCACAGTACCATCGTCATTTGTGAGGAGGGATTGATCTTCCTCCGTGGATGCGTGGAACAGATATGCAGCCGACTCGGCGGGATTGGGGACATCCCATGTTCTAGGTACAACAGAAATGGGGATGAGGCGATTCACTGACTTGTAAGTTGTGATTCGAATGGAAGGGTCGTCACGCCGAGGCCTGATCGTCTTTCTCCTGGGCTGCGGAGCTGGATGAGGCACAAAACGAGTAAGAATGGATCCAGATTGAATGAGACGACCACATACCATTGAGATCACCCACAGAATCGTTTTGAACGGGAGAAATAGCGCAGTCGAGATCTAATTAAAGGAATTTGAATGGCCTACATTCGTCGCACGTAGCAATTTTCGAGCCTACCAGAACCAAGTTGAAAGCTGCGGGCTGATACACCGCTCTCTGAACGGGCATCAACATCCGTGTCAAGGTCAGAGAAATCCGACCGGATGGACATAGATGAAACCGGCCGGGAAGAAGGAACCAGGGATGCGTGGCTGTTGGAGGCCGAGGCAAGATCATAGAAGGACGAGGCGCGAGAATGCGGACGTGATTCGGAGGCTGCAAAGGAACGCAGTCGCTGAAAATCGTCCTGCTGATTCAGGAAGAGTGCGAAAGGACGGGGATTGATCCAAGTTGAACAATGCTCAAAGGAGAAAAGTGTGGTGTGGAGAAGGTTACTATCAGGCCCCAGAATCTCGAAAACCAATTGAAATAGACGCAGCAGTAGGATCAAATACACGCACGAAATTCCGGTATGCCTGCAGCTGTCCCATGGTCGCTGATTCGAGATCCAAAGTGGCGCTGGTCTCAATTGATCCATTATCCAGCAAGAATAACTGGTACCCAAGGGAGGACACCCAAGATGATGCAATATCAATCGAAAGATGCGCATGAGTTTGCTCAGGGAAAGCCTTCAAGGCAGGATTACTACAGCGTCAAGACGTCAGAGGAAACACATACCCAGACTCGATAACGTTTAACCTCATCAATGGAAAGACGGGAGACCTTAAACGACGCATCTGAGAGTGTCTCAGATCGAAAAAATAAAAGAATGCTGCGGGAGATGTACCGTTATTCGCCATGGAACTTTCGGACTCAAGCTAGCTTGCAAGGGAGAGATCTGGATGCGGTTACAAAGGAACATGTAATATGTACATATATATGTGGATGACCCGACTCGTGTATTCTAACCATCTGCCCTGGGTTCAATCGATAAGGGTTCAAGATAAGTTGTAAGCGAGGGGATCTACGAAAGGTAAGAGATTGTGGACTGGCAGAGCAGCCTAATCAACACGAGGCTTTAAGTGCTGGGTCTAAGGGTTAGTTCAATCAGATTTAATCAGGGAGCACATCATTTGCCAAAAAAAAATACACAGTTGGTATATACTGGAACCGCGTACTAACTGTTGTGCCATTCAAAGGCATCGATTATGTCCAAGCTAGGCCGTTCAAATGTATTGATTACGTCCAAGTGCAGAATCTCACAACAAGTCCCACAGTGGTACTTGGCGACAGCTGACAGCATCTGTCAATCCGCGGATAAGGTCCGGTCCTGTCCAGTCTGATATTTACCAACCGTTTGCCGCTGGGATCACCGGTTATCAAGATCAGCATGTGAATATTATACATCAGAGTGCGACTTTTACAGATCACTGTGCGGCATTTCCCATCAGAGTGCGAGCCCAATACTTGCACTCGCACACTTATTGTCATTCCTCCGCACGCGGAAGGAGGACACGGGGAGGCGCACCTCGTACGCGGGAGATGGGCGGGAGACGGGGTTGCAGGGTATGGGCTCTGCCGGTGCGTGGCGGGACGGAGCGGCGTTGGCGAGGGAGAACGCCCCGAGTGTGAGGGCGAGGAGCGGCGAGAGCATAGCGAGCTGTCTCTGTGTGTGTAGATCTGCAGGTCGCTGAAAACAGCTATTGAGGTGGAAGCTTCTTATACGTATCTCCTGGGAAAACACTAGAGTAACCGAACTGCAGGTAGTCAGTCAGTCAGTCTCTTGGTCGCTGAGTTAGCCGGGGTCGTAGACCGGCTTCGGACTGGCGTGAACGTCATTTGCAGGGACCGATTCGTGCCATTGGAGCCGCAGCCGATGTGTGGCGACGCCACGTTCGCTCTGCGCTAGACGTCGACTGTACGATATGCTCGCCTTCGCCGCACAGAATGATCTACTCAGCCGAGTGGGTGATTAGTAGTGTGGGTGCGATGGGAACTCCCGGTGAATTTACCCGTGAACTTTGGTTATTCAAGGGCTCGTGTCCTATCTCTGGGCAGACGAGGACTTTTTCAAGTTTTTTCAAGATAGGAAAGAGGAGAGACAGGGGAGAGACTCACACTATTATCTGCCTATCTGTAGTCATTTTCACGTTGAATCTTGAGCCCAGAGGCTGTTCCCATCGCGAATCAGCTCTTGAAAGATTCGGCATCACGTCGTCAAGATAGGCGACGCTTCGTTTTCAAGCCTACCTCCCATCGGAGATGCCGCTCGATCTGGCTTTGGGACCCAGCCAACCGTTTTCAAGATGGCACGTGTTTTGGATCGTGAGCCGACTCCGCTGTTCTCGCGCTTGTCTCGCGCGCACACTGGTACACCTCTTGTCTTTTCACTTGTTTGACCATTGTTCCGCAGTTGCCTGCGTCGCCAACGAAAACGAGAAGTCTCTAGTATCACACCTCCTTCCGTCAACTACACGCTCGAGGAACTGTGATACGGCTTACGTCGTGCGACTCGTCTATCGAACGACATGCTTGCGACACGCGCTTGGGAGGCTACCTAAATGTTGAACAGGGAAGGATGTCGATGGAATGGGCGAAGTATCGAGAGTGGTGCGTCACCAGTCCAGTCAATCTTCAGCGGTCTTGCTAACGCAGGTGTTCCTTTCTGTTGTAGTCATGTCATCACACTTGTCCCGCGCGCCCTTTTTGCTACGCACACAATGCACAAGTTTTATGCGTTGCTTGTTCGACATCATCCTTGTCTACATTGGGTGATTCTTGAATTGGCCCATCGGAACAAGAAGACACATCAATATTCGAGCCTTATGTTGCACGGAACTACATACACTGTATCTGGGGGGGACAAATCAAGCCATGTTATCGCTAACGTTTCTGTCCATGAGCCGCTTCTGGATGACATGCTCGTGAAGCCGTGCCTTCCTACCCTTTTGTACTTCCGGGTGCGGAGGTAGACATTTGCAGTTGTTCCTATTTGAGCAACCGGGACATGTGCTCCGTTTGGGACACATCACGGCGACGCATCTGGCGCATCGCTTCTTTGGCTTCTCAGTGAGTGTTCGCCCACTTGCGAGTTCGAATCCAACGGATCCGTGACCGACTGTTAGTTGTGTTTGCATCGGAACGGAGAGCGTTGCGGAATCCCTTGGGACATGAGTTGACGATGAGCTGGCGGTCGGAAGTGTCACAACTTGTGGTGCTGTATCGACATCCGTGGACACTTGTGTCTTGGTATTGTGCTGACTGGGTTGTATTGAAGATCCATCCGGTTGCGGGACATCTTCATCAGGGTCCTGTTGTGAAACGAAGTCGTTGGGATTCGAGACGATGACACGATCCGTGGCAAGAATGTCTGTTGCTGCATTTCGGCTGATGGCTGCAAGATCATCGACTTTAACAAGAGTTATGTCAGTGCTTTCTGATCAGTAAAAGAATACTGACGATCTTTTGTTGTGTCATCAACAGTCGAGTTTGGGAGCGCAACAGCTGGGAGAAACAAGATTGTGTCATTGATGGCAGTAACAAGGTTGTTGAACGGCTGCAGTGCCGATGCGTTCTCGCCCATGAACAATGTCGAACGCTCCATCTTGTACGCAATCACCTTCTTGTGGTGCGCCTCAAGTTGCTGCGGTAATTTGGAGTACAAGCGACGCTCGGGATCGCAAATAGTCTGATCTTGGGTGTTCACAAGGTTATTCCAGAAAACGGCAAACCGTTCAAAGTCAATGGCTTTGTTGGCCTCGTGCGGTGCAACTGAACGTCTTGAGTTCTTCTTCCAAGTAGGATTATTAATCTCTTCTTTGAATTTACGGTACTCGGCCTGAGTTGCCACAGGGAGAACGGGATACAATGCTCGTTGTCGAAGCTGAAGATGGCGATAGACGTTAGTCCGCCGCGTGAATAGGAGCATCAACGTGTGAACCGGCATGTCATGGTACTCTGGAACGCCGTCGACACGGATGTTTGGGAGCGTCACAATCCCGTAGTCGGCTGCAGTCTTCCTGTCGATGGGAATGATTCCAAATGTCTCTGTTGTAGCAATTTGTGTTGCGAGCAGAGCTGGTGGGTTGAACGACGGCGCTACTGCAAGTTGCGAGGCAATCTCGGTAATCTCGTCAGTGAGCCACAGATCAAAATGGCCACAGAATTTAGAACCAGTACGATTACGGTGTCCAACCTGAGAACATATGAGTTGATATTGGATAGACGTAGGGAATACGCACCGACTGGTTTCGTCTAAAAATCCAATGGGAACGAATTGCCTCCGCAAACTCTGGTGATGCTCGAAGCGAGCCAAATACTCGACGGATAGCCATATGCACTCCACCTTCCAGTGAGTTGGTCCCCCGTACAGTCCGGTGATAGGCTGGCTACCAGACGCGCTCTGCACCAACTCTGTAAGGGCGTATTTTTGCGCTTTTTACAGAGTTTACTCTTCAACCACTCGGTGTATCGTGTCGCGGTTAACAGTGTTGCGCTCAGTAGGACTTATGGGTCTACTGCCCAGTCGACGACTGTGGATAGTGTCGACGATAGCAAGGCAGTCAGACCACTACTGTGGAACTGGTCTTATGAGTCTACACCAGGCTCAGGGCCATTAGTGACGAACGCTTGGACCGCGACCATTCCCCAAAAAGGGATATGTCGTTGCGTCGACTTCTCAATAAGGGTCATTCTCTGCAGATGGGAACTTGGGCTGAAGGGCTGAGCAATGCGCGACGTTCTCAATAATAGAACTACTATTGGACAGGACTTGGCGTTACAAGACTTAAACCATCTTGTCGCGGCAACTCCCGGTTTTGAGTTGGACGTTTCCTCAGATCATGCCACGACGACGACTTGTCACATGTCAGGATCCATTCGATCACGGGACATTGTGGACGCGTCGCGGTGACGCTTCCAAGTGTCACGGCGAAGTCGCGCCCATACCCAAACACACTAGAAACCGACACGGTAAGATCCGTGAACCGAACCATGTGGGGGACGACTGGCGTGCCTAGGGCCATACGGCTTCTTGGGGCGCCCACGTTGGTCTCACATGCCAAGACATGCCCGTTGGCCAATCCAGCACGTCGTATTCCAAAAGTATGACGCGGTGGGTTGGCCCACATCAAAAGTATCATATGGACGATGGAGCGGGGTCCTGATCACTCAGGACCTGTCCGATCGTTCGAACTTTTCAATTACCCTAAAAGGCAACCGATCTTAGATAGCGTAGCTACTATGCAGTTGTACAGGACTTTACTAAGCAGCGTCGTAGACAGTATAAGTAGCACGTCGTCTCTTTGTATTAGGAAGCTTTTCCCGGACTGTGAATCACTACCATTTCAGATTGTTTTGTACAATTTGCGTGTCGCGTGATTCCACCCTAAGAAGTTCTGCCATCCCTGCCCGGTCGCGACGAGTTGCTCCCTGAGCACTTGTAGCTACTGTGATTTGAGTTTGAGTTGAGACATCAGAAAGTCGGATTCGCCGCATCTGGTTTAGTCGCGGCACTTAGTGTCGTCGCCTTCGGGCTTTGTTGAGATCGTTCCACACCTCTAGCTTGGCAGTGCGTCGACTAGTTGTGCTCGGGTTGTTTTGGTCAGTTGGCAGTGCGTCGACTTGAGAACTTTGGTTCCACACTTCTTGCTTGGCAGTGCGTCGACAAGTTGTGCTCGGGTTTTGGACATTGGATATTGGCTGTTAGTTGGCAGTGCGTCGACGCGGCATTTTGGTTTACTAGTTGGCAGTGCGTCGACTCAGTACTTTTGGTTTTGTCAGTTGGCAGTGCGTCGACTTGACATTTTGGTTTACTAGTTGACAGTGCGTCGACTCAGTATATTGGTTGTATCGGTTGGCAGTGCGTCGACTTGATATTTGGGCTTTGCGTCACCATCTGGACGCTGTCGCTACAAGGGATCTTAATACTTCGTATTAAGCTCTGACTTGTTATATTGTTGTTGTGGATTGGATTAGTGTTAGTTGTGATCGTATAGAAGATATTGGTTGAGACACCATTGTTTGCTATATATATATTCTTGTCGTCGACTCCGTCTCCGCGACTATTGGATCTGCGTCTATTGAGAGTTGTGATACTGGTGCTCTGTCCACCCCGAAGCCCTCGCATCTTTCACACACTGAGAAGCTGATTACGAGGAGTGTGAACGTGTTTATATTTGGGTTTACTTTCATAGTAGATTCACTTGTGAGCACGCCCTCAGCATTTCATCTGGAGCCCACCGCGAGGGGCTTCTAAAGTTTCATAAACTTTAAAAATCAATAAACCGGATTCTTTACCGCGACGTCGGATAGAGACCAAGGGTTTATCCCGCGAAGCAGTTTATTTCGATCCCAAGCTCCTGCGCGACCTCTCGAGGACCAAGCGGAGATTGAGACTGAAGGAAACGCTTCAACCTCAGGACCTTTCGAAAAACCACGAAGGTCTGCAAGACATAAAACACCTTTGTATCTACCACCCTTGCCTTCCAAGGCAAAAGGAAAACAAAGAGTGAATTCGACGTCGAAGCTTCCAGCTTTAGACACAGCTACTTCGAGTTCGACGACAATCAGTCGATCTCAGACTAGCTCACAAACCCTCTCAGAATTGTCAAGTAGCGTCACCGCTACAAACACGAATTCTAACAACATCCCTACTTCCCCTGTGACTTCAGTCGCGACAACTATGGCTCCAAAGACTGGGTTCAAAATCCCTCAACCTTGGGACACAAGTAGACCTATACTTGATGAAAAGGATCCTCTGTCGATTGAGGCATATTTGCGTCACTGCGCGCAGATCGTGGAGGATGGTGGCATCACAGATGTCAAACAGGCAAAAAGCATGTACATCCGTTATTTGCCGTCGCGGCAAGTGATGGACGTATGGGAAGGTCTCGATACCTATTCCGACGACACGAAAACTGTCGCGGAATTCGAGGCCGAAATATTAAAAGGATACCCTGAGGTGTCCAAGCGAAAAACGGGGACCATGGCAGATCTAGACAGGCTCTGTCGCGAGAACCGTGGAATCAAAATCACGGATGAGGGAGATTTGAAGCGTTTCGGCCTTCAAATGTATAGTCACTACAAGCGACTGTCAGTCCCTCCTGCCATTATCACCAACAAAGTCGCGTGTGAACGCTACATGCGTACTTTGGACTCTGAGTTCAGTACCGTCTTGCGAAATGCTTTGGCTACGAGTCAGGTATTCAACAAGCGCTACCAAACTCGCGCCGGGATAGTGAACGCTAATGTCCCCGCGACTGGAGTCAATCGGCAGGACGACCCCATCCAGTTGAAAGAACTAATGACAATGGCGGAAGAAATGGCGTCGACGTTGAGCAACGAAGACGAAATTCCCATAATCGCGCGACCTCCCAAGGTTCGTTTCGACTATGAGACTAGTCCACCCAACCATGCTAAGGTTGAGGAGTTGGAAAACTCGATTTCCAACTTGAAGGATTCATTTCTTCTACACCAAAAAGAGCTACAGACTCAGTTGCAGGAAGCGCTGAAGACGTTCGTACAGACTGCTCGCGAAGCGCCCATACAGCGGTCGCGGCCAGTAGGCAACAACTCTTCTGTGCCCCACTTTGAAAGTCGCGCACAAGGAGGAGCTGCCGCACGGAACGACGATTGTCGCTACTGTGGACAAACTGGTCATTGGTCGAACGAGTGCCCGCTCAAGAGGTCTCACATTGAGAAAAACCTTCTCAAAGTCGACACCAAAGGGATGTGGAGGCTCTTCGACGACAGCTTCTTACCAAATGGAGAAGGGACTCAGGGGCAACGAGTAGAGGCTTATTGGAAGAAGAAGGGCAAATCCGTCAACTTCCAGGACTCCTACTACTTGGATCAGTTCGATAGTCGCGACAATGATGATATGTCCGACTACCCTGAAGAAGTGGCGGATGAAATACGCTCCCTTCGAAGTCAACTCATCCAATACGAGAGGAAGTCGTCGCGACCAACCCCAGAGAGTCGCGCTGAGCCAAAGACTCAACGAACTGCATCTGGTTCAACCAGCAATGCAATGGAAAGTGCCATGGGCCAATTCATGCAGAAAGCCATGACCGACGCCATGGCCGGCTACTTCAACAACATGAACAGTGGTTATCCTCAGACTCAGGAGCAGTTCATTCAAACCCGTCGTGGTGCGAATAGCCAACCTGAGCGCGACGATAACAACTCGGGTTTCTAAATGGTTCAAGGAAGGGGGCTAAACCCACAAACTCAGCCAAGCCCTCTGAGGACCATGATAAACGAGCTGAGCGACGAGAGAAACCGAGAAAACCTGTGACTATTGAAGAAGTTAGTGATAGCGACGATGATGAGGAATCAGTGCGCGACAACGTCGAAAACAGAAAGGAACTACCGTTTGAGAAAGTCAAGCCCGTTCTACAAGAACCAGTACATTCTTCAAAAGCGCGCGTTCCAGATAAATACCAGTTGCGTGCACCGATTCAAAAGAAGGCTGTGGCAGAAGCAGTCTACGACAAAATGAAAAACGCGTCAGTCGACGTCACTGTGGGTGAACTCCTAGCAGTTTCGGGGACTGTTCGCGACTCCATTCTAAAGGACTCTTCGAAGAAACGAGTACCGGTTCAGAAGTCCATGCTTCAAGAAACTGGTCGCGTCGTTGAAGACGTTTGGGATGGAGAACTGAGCTACAACCTAGTCAGTGCTAAGGAATTGCCCGAGCCTGTGTTCTATCATAACACGGTCGAAGGAGAAATTCCCATTGGCGCAGTTGTCGCGACGGACCCATATGAGATGTACTTGGAGTCGATACCCTCTAATGAGAACCCAAGACATGTCTATGTTGGTGATTCGTCAGCTGCTCTCAGAACAATAAACGGACGGATTAACGCGCGTCTCGACGCGGACTGCATCCTAGACAGTGGATCTCAGATTGTATCGATGGCTTTCTCAGAAGCCGTCGACGCACAATTGAGCTGGGACCCAAAGGTCGTCATATATATGGAAAGCGCAAATGGATCTATCTCTAAGTCACTGGGATTAGCGAGAAATGTACCCTTCAGGTTTGGGACCATCTTGGTCTACCTGCAGGTGCACATTTTGGAAAGTCCAGCTTATAAGGTGTTGCTCGGCAGACCGTTTGATATCGCGACAGAAAGCAATATCAAGAACGCGGCCGACGGCAGCCAAATAATCACTATGCGCGATCCCAATTTAAAGACACGTTGTGCAATGGCTACGCAGCCACGTCGTGCAGACGACTTGCCGCGTAACACCAAAAACAACGACGGATCTACCGAGCCCTACAGTTCGTCGAAACCGACGGCCAGTCCAGACGAACCGAACCCTGAACGGGATT